ACCTGTCTGTGGACTGATGTGGTCTCACCTGTCTGTGGACTGATGTGGTCTCACCTGTCTGTGGACTGATGTGGTCTGGCCTCCTGCAGCTGGAGATGATAGCCATGGAGAACCCTGCAGACCTGAAGAAGCAGCTCTACGTGGAGTTTGAAGGAGAGCAGGGCGTGGATGAAGGAGGAGTCTCCAAAGAGTTCTTCCAGCTGGTGGTGGAGGAGATCTTCAACCCTGACATAGGTAGGACAGCCTGTAGGTTCTGGTCTTCTCAGGGAGACCCGGGTCAAGATGGAGGATGTTGAAGCTTGTGTCTCTGTCAGGGATGTTCACGTACGACGAGCGGACCAGGATGTTCTGGTTCAACTCCTCGTCGTTTGAGAACGAGGGCCAGTACACGCTGATCGGCATCGTCCTGGGCCTGGCCATCTACAACAACTGCATCCTGGACGTGCACTTCCCCATGGTGGTCTACAGGAAGCTGATGGGCAAGAAGGGCACCTTCAGGGACCTGGCCGACGCCAACCCGGTAAGACTTGTGTGTGTCTGAGTGTGCTGTCTGCTGAGCGAGGCCTTGAGAGGACCCTCTGTGTGCAGGTCCTGTGCCAGAGCCTGAAGGAGCTGCTGGAGTACGAGGGCAGCGTGGAGGACGACATGATGATCACCTTCCAGATCTCACAGACGGACCTGTTCGGGAACCCCCTCATGTACGACCTGAGGGAGAACGGAGACAAGATCCCTGTGACCAACGAGAACAGGAAGGTGAGCTGGTCACAGGTGGTGATGTTGTCTGCTGGTGGAGCTGAGGTCAGCAGCTGTCTGCTTCTGTGTGCAGGAGTTTGTAGCTCAGTACTCAGAGTACGTCCTGAACAAGAGTGTGGAGAAACAGTTCAAGGCCTTCAGGAGAGGCTTCCACATGGTCACCAACGAGTCGCCCCTCAAGTACCTGTTCAGACCTGAGGAGATCGAGCTGCTGATCTGTGGCAGCAGGGTGAGACCACTGCTGCCTGACGGCCTTTATTCAACACTGACAAACACACAAACAATAAGACAAACAAACAATAAGACAAACAAACAATAAGACAAACAAACAATGAGACAAACAAACAATGAGACAAACAAACAATGAGACAAACAAACAAT